AGCGCCTTATGGACCCCCCCCCCCCCCCCACAAGCCCATAAAGTACATGGCACTCAACATGCAGTCCTGCCATCCTGCAGCTCATGCCACCTGCTTGCCTGACGGACGCTCCAAAGAGCAAATCTCTCCAGATCTTAGCTATTGGGATGAGAGAGAGCGAGATCGATCCTATCTATCTCCAGCTTTCCCCTCCATCCCTTCTGTTTTCAGCTTGCCTGAGTCCTCAGCATGAGGGTCAGAACCTGCCTTTCTCTCCCCTCACACCCTTCAGCCCAGAATACTAATTACAGCAAGCTAAGGAAGAGATTTATTTTATTTTTCTGTCATTATTACGTGAGTATGTTAGAGATAATGGGAACAGCAGTCTGCATTAGAGGCCAATATTTCATGCGTCATCAGATCTCGGGACCGCCATGTGGTGGGCAGCTGCCAGAGCTGTACCTGGAATGTTTGCAACGGCACATTTTGGCGGATCAGTAACATTTTATTTGCACATTTGCATATTTGTTTTCATAATGAATATGCAAATAAAATGTTACCAGTCCACCAAAAGTTTGTGAATGGGTTTCCCAAACCACAGTATAAAAAGGGTTGGGAACCACTGCTCTATAAACACAACAAAAAGTTATGTCTAAAAGTCATAGTGTAAATGGGAGCAAACTGTCTCTCTCTGACCATGGTAATGTCGTGGACTCTCCCCTGCTACTTCGCTTCCAGGGACAGTCTTCTAAGTCTGTGTGCACAGTATTTACTGCAACAGGGTCCTGCTTGAAGACTAAGGCTCTTTGAGGCTATTCTATTATAAGTAATAAAAAGAGTAAGTTTGCTGTTGCCAACTCAGAATATCATCATGAGGATTGGTAAAACAAAAAGAAAAAAATATGTAGCACTTTAAAGACTAACAAGATAGTTTATTAGCTGATGAGCTTTTGTGGGGCAGACCCACTTCTTCAGATGTTTCTTTCTTAAAGTCACAGATTTTCCTGGAGTCATGAATCTCGGATTTCATTTAAAACACAAAAGCATTGTGAGTGTTTTTGTTTTTGTTTAACACCTCCTAGCTGCAGAGAAGGACCTGGAAATATTACCCTAGGGTATCTGAGGTTCTAAAACTAGAAAGTAAATAAAAGGGATCCCTCAACTATATATGTATTTTTAAGCACCTCCTGATATTTGGGTCCTGGACTAACAATATTTGAATGTTTGGAGTTGGCAATATTGTTCTGTCTGCCCAGTCTGTTCACACCTTTCATCTGTCTGTTAACACATTTCATCTGAGAATCTTTGGTGAATCGCTATTCAAATCTCCTGGTACATATATTTATTTTACATGGGGGGAAACTGAAGCATAGAGCAGTGAGCTGGCTTGTTCAAGATCATGTAGGAAGACTGAAACTGGACACTATTTCTGATTCCCAGTCCATTCTTCACAGGAAAGTAACCACAACACCACACACATCAGTCAGCTGCAGTGTTGTGGTGGTGGTTTTGTTTCTTTAAATCATTTTATTTTCAGTTCTCTTCCTTTGAAAATTTAATATCCTGTTGGAACTTATTCTCTATCTTCTGATATGTAAGTTATGGCATTGGCCAGAAATATGTTTTAATGACCATTTGGTGTTAAGCTTGCAAAACAGGTTTGACTTGAAGTGGGTGGTGTTGGCTTTTTGCTTTTTTTGTGGTGGTTGTTTTTTTTTTGGGGGGGGGGGGGAGGAGGAAGGGGAGGGTCAGACTAGAGATCTTGTGATGAGCTTCAAAAAAAAGCCTGACAACCCTGCTCCATAATGCTAGAGCTTATTCTTCCTTGTCTCTTTTGTAGGTGATCTCTGACTACAACTGCTCTACACTGGATTAACAGCATACGCTTGGTCGATGAACTGTTACTATAGGAAGCAGAGCTGAGAGACTGGCACCTCCACTGAACATGCTTGTGATCTGAATAATCAGGAATGCAGCCCTCTATTGTGAGAGTCTCTGACCCAGAGAAGTACTTTCTCCTACAAGAAAAAAAAGTTCAGGGCTTTTTATCCCATTGACTGTAACTCAACACAACGGTTGGAGTGCTTTTTGAATTCCACAGATCGGGGATTTCTGTATTTTTGCACCTTTAGCATTGACTCCAACACCAGCCCCCAAAAGGACTTGTTAGGATTCGCTAAGCTTCCTTTAAATCTGGTAGCAAGATGATTGACCTAAGCTTCCTAACAGAGGAGGAACAAGAAGCAATAATGAAGGTGCTTGAACGGGATGCAGAACTGAAGAAAAATGAAGAGGCGAGGGTCAGGTAAGAGACCAAGATGATCCCAGCCCACACAGAATCTTTGGCTAGTACAGGAGTCAGCTGCCTGCCTGCCTGCCTGCAAGGAGAGATGAGCAGGTTGTATGAGAAGTTGTTTCATAGGCCTTTTCTACACTGGGAGGACTCTATGGCTATAGCTATAGATGTACCTCAGTGATGGGCAACCAGGACTAGTGAGCGGGGCTGTAGGAGTGGCCCTCCTTCCTCTCAGTAGACTACATGATTAGTGGTGGGCTCTGTGTGACACTTAGATAAAGGTCACAGACCTGCCAGCAGCCTACCCAGGTGGGCCCATGACCTACCTTTGAAAAACCACTGCTTTAGGACACAACTTGCATGGACACCATTTATCCTGGTTTCAAGCAGGAATAAGCTGTTCTAGTGCAAACAGAAGCTTTATATTGGCTTTGAACTGCCACTAGGGATGCCAAATGGTCAAAACAAAAATGCCCCCCCCCCCCAAACCACACAGGGAAAAAATTCTGTTGAAATACAAAAAGGGGGGGAGGGGAGACCAAAGTTGTTGAGCAAAAGGAAAAAAAAGACTCCAAGGCTTTTTAAGGGGAAAAAAAATTAAAATAAACCAGGGTTGAAATAAAAAAGCATTGCTTCCCCCTTAGTCGGCAGCCATTTTGTGCCAGCAGCCTTGCAGAACCAGGTAAGCATGGGGTCTGGGGGTGTTGGGAGCCGGGGGGAGGAAAGGGGGAGGTCGGGTGTTGAGTGTTTGTAAGGTTGCCAGGTGCCCGGCATTTTTGCCTTATGGCTGGGGAAAAAAATCAGAAAATACCGGACATTTTAGGTGTCCAGCATTCGCTGAAATTTTTTTTACCGGACAGGAGGCGAAAATACTGGACTGTCCGGGTAAATACTGGACACCTGGCAACCCTAACTGCCACCCAGGCACATAAGTACTAGGGGTGCAAGCCAGTAATTGAGTCAAGTACTTG